CCAACCCCCTTTCTCTGTTCCATTGATCTCCTTCCAACCCTTCTAACCYGAAGTTATTCTAATTTGCTAAAAAAAATTCATTTCAGCATTACTGAAGACCCCAAAGGCTGCAAAACCCTCAACATTTATGCAGTAATAAAAAATAATTATAATAGTGTCTAAGACTTATTGATGACTGATGTGGCTGGCTCTGCCCTGTGAGCTTTATGCATAGCACCTTCATCTTGGTAATCCAAAACGTAGGTCCAGTTGTTAGCCCCGTGTGACAGGTGAGGACACGGAGGTGCRCACAGCTTGTCAGGGATTCCAATATGGGCCTCTGGCTCCATTCAAGAATGCAGTATTAGTCTGAGCACCTACTAGGAACCAGGTATTATCCTAGGACACACTACAATGAATGAAAAGGACAGAGAACACTTGTCATGAAGCATTCATGGATGTCAGTCAGGGTGAGGCTGGCTGCTATAACAAAGAGATCCCCCAGAGTTTATTGAATTAAAGGACGTGGAAGTGGATTTCCTTGCTGAGAGGAAATTCGAGGTGTGTGTCCCAGCCTGGGCAGCCCTGGTCCCCCCCCCCCAGAGGACCCAGGTTCCCTCCACCTCATTGCTCTGCAAAGCAGCTAGGACACTGTCTTCACCTGCATCCCAGGGGGCAGCAGGAAGCAGGAGGGAGGCAGCAGGGGCCGCACCCGGCATGCTTCAGCCCAGGCCTGGAGGCACCTCTGTTTCCTTTCTGTGCATACAAACCTAGGCCCGCGGCCACGTCTCATTTCAAGGGGCCCCAGGGAACCTGCCAGGTAGTTGGACTTGGGTGGCAGCCAGCACCTTGGCCAGGGTGGCAGCACAGGCAAGTGGGTGCTGTTTATTGATGACATCAGGGAGCGGAAAGTGCAGGGGAGAAAAACAATGGGGCCCAGCTGGGAGTGACGGRGTCGCATGTCTGCACCATGCCACCAGCTCCGGGCACTGTCTCTAGCTGACCCCAATCACACTAGTGTGCACGGTGACCATGCCAAAGGCTTAGGAGAGCCTGGGGCACTTCATGAACCAAATCAGGTCACCTTRCATCCAGCCGAGCAGCAGGGGGCTCTGGCCAAGCAGGGCTGTGCTGGCCTTGACCTTCTTGGAATCCCTCCTGTCTTCTATTGGAGTATTTTTATTTACTGGTTATTTCATTCTCATGAAGAAAAAAAATTTTAAAGCTGCTAGGGCAGGTGCTGCCATCTCTTTTCAATGAGAAACGAACTTGAGACTTGGAAATATTCAGTTCAGTTAAAAAAAAATGTATATATACTCTATTAAGCTCTTCTGGGCCAGGGAATTGTGATAATGAAACAACTTAGATGGTTCTCTCAGACAAGTAGCTAGTGTGGTAGGCAGACACAAACACAAATAACTTGTGAAGCAATGAAAAAAACAAAGTATATACAAAATCCAGTGGCGTAAAGAATGCATGATTCCATCTGGATGAGATGGTCAGGAGAAGGTATCACAAAACAGGTGATGATTGACAAGGTTGTGAAGGATGAATAGGAGTTCAAGCAGAGGGAGAATCTCTTTCTGATAGAGCAACTATATTCCAGAGAYAGGGAACTGCATTCTTAAAAGCATAGAGGCCTAACAGTATGAAATGAATTGGGCTATGAATATTTAAGAAAGACACATTAACCTTTAAAATCAATACTAGGGTGAGGCACYGTGGTGCACACCTTTAATCCCAGTGACTCAGGAGGCTGAGGCAGGAGGATTGCAAGTTCAAAGCCAGCCTCGGCAACCTAGTGAGGCTCTGTCTCAAAAACTAAAAATGGCTGGGAATGGGATTCTGTGTTAAGTGTCCCTGGGTTCAGCCCTAAAAACAACAAAGAAACAAAGAAGAAGAGAGAAGAAAAAAGAAATTTTGTTTCAAAAGACTGGTAACATGAAGAGTTACATGATTCATTGAAAAATCAGCCATTTACAAAACCTTACAGGTGGCAGCCTGGCAGTGTAGCTCAGGGGCAGACCACCTGCCCAGCATGTGTAAGGCCCTGGGTTTGATTCCCGGCTCAGGAACGAACGAACAAATAAATAAATAGATAAATAAATAAATAAATAAATAAGTAAATAAATAAATAAATACCTCTGGGCAAAACCTTACAGGTGGCACAGCCCCAATTTTGTTTTACAGACTGAAATTGAAGTAAAAACTTCTAAAAACTCACCTCTGCCCTGGGAGTGAGCGTGAGCAGGGGTGGAGGGCTTCCATGTCCAGGTGTGGCCTTTGCTTCCTTCTCCAGCCATTTTCTCTCCCACTCTGGAACAGGCGAGTCCTACGGGCCTCTGCCCTGCTGGGTCTCCACGTGGGACTCTCTCCTGCTCTAATCGTGTCCCACCTGCGGTCTCCAAGTGCCTGGTGCTCACCTGGTGCACCCTGCCTCACTGAGCTAGGGGTGTCTGCTAACRTGCCTGTCTCCAGAGCCCTGTAAGGGCTGGACCGTGACTTGCTCTCAGCCCCCGTCCCCAGCACACCTCTTGGCACAGCATAGGTGCCCAGTGAAGTCCTGTTGTCCCACTATCATGGGCACCCCAGTTACTAGCTGGTAATACATGCAAAGAGTCTCTATGGTGTCAAGTTCAAAGAAATGCCATCTTGAAACATCAAGTCATTAAATAATAAATTCTGTGCTTGCTGGTGCTTCTTGAATAACATTAAAGGAGATCTGAGCCACAGGCCACAACAGCTCTGCCAATCTCTGCGGCTCTTCCTGGTTCTCTTCAGTTCCCTTGGTCTGCGTGGCTGCACCGGGCACCATGGCCCTCCTTGAAGCCTCATTCCACTCACCTTCCCTGTCCTTTCCTGTCCTGTGTCCTGCATTTCTCTGATCATTGTCCCCATTTGGTATCTCAAAGGCCTGGAATCTGGGCTGGGACAGACAGAGCTGTSCCATGACCATGGAGGAGAAAAACTTGAGCAGAAGACGTGCACTTGCCCTTAGCCCCTGGGTGAAGGGGCGCTTGTCACCTTCTAAATCAGACACAAGCACACAGTGGCCAGGCCAAGGCCACCAGATGCACCCTCAAAGAGCCTGGGTTGTGCGGTGGCAATGCTCCCACTCTGGGGAAGGGGCTCCTGGCCTTTCCCGCATTCCTCCCGGGGAAGCAGAGCAACGTGGGGAGCTGAGTCCTCACAGGGCAGCCACCTCCGCACTCCCCCTGGGGGCTGTGGTCCTTGGGCTGGGCCGGCTCTGCAGAGGCGGCTCTACCCTAGGAGTCGGAGACCCAGGCCAGCCTGGCTCTGCCACTACCTGGGCAGGTGCACCTGTCCACTTCTGTTCTGGTTGTACGTTTGCCCTTCCCCCACGTGGGCTTTCTCAGCAACAAAGAGAGTCCAGTCCTCTGTCCTCTTATTTCTCAGTCGACTCGGGGCCAGGTAGGGATGAGGGATGCTATGTATCCCCCGAGGCTCGTGCCTCCCTCCGGGTCCCATCCACCTAGCCTACATTTTCTTTTCTAAGCTACAGTGRTCACCCCCTCATTCAGTTTAGCTTCCCATCGTTTTAGGGACTCAAATTCAACCATGGTCTGAAGGTGTTGCAAGGAAAATTCCAGAAATAAACAAGCCACAAGTTTTCATTGCGTGCCTTCCGGCTCCATCCTGCCCTGGATGTGAATCACTCCTCTGTCCAACTCCTTCATGCCTTTTGCCACACCCCCGTTGGTGACTCGTAGTCYTCGAAGTCATCTGGTCACTTGTCCCAGTTCCATGGCACTTGTTTCAATAACCTTGCAGAGTAGCTGTCACTGGGCCACATCACCCACCTGGCCTCCTCCCACCCTGTAGGCATTGGGCTGTCTCACAAGGTCAGAGAAGGGGAGTACAGCACAATAGGATCTTTTGAGAGAGAGAGGGAGAGAGAGAGAGAAAGAGCGAGAGCACATTCACGCAGCTTCCAGCAGAGCATACGACTGTAATTGTCCTATTTTCCCACTAGCTGTTGTGGTTAGCAAATTTTTAGCTCCTCTTCCCTCCTCCTTGTACTGGTTAGTTGGCCCTTGCTTGCTTTCTGGCTGGAGTGCAAATTGATTTTTCCTAARGGTGTACAAGGCTAGACCAATTAGTCTGCCTGCTCAGAGCCTCGGTTTCCTCATGCCCTGTAGAAGATATTAATTTGATTTCGGTATTCTAAAATTCTTTTTAGATTGGCTGCAAGGATTAGGCTGGATAATCTGCAAAGCTTCCGGGAAGTTCTAAAGTGCTTCACCATCCTGAGATCCCCTCCCCATCCACTGAGGACTAGACAAGGTTGTCCTTCACCCCAGGAGGCAGGACATGCCGTCTTTTGCTGTCCTCCACCTGGGGTGGCCTGAGGAGAGCTCCATGGGGCCGGAAGAGGTCACTTTATACTGGGGCTTTTGTGTAGATCCCACCAAATCACTTACCTGGAAGATTATGCGCTTCCTTGATGAGCAACCAGGAGACTGGAGGTGATGCGGTCACTGAGTGGTTATTCTGTCATCTGTGCTGACCAAGTGCGAGGATTATTTTGTTCATTCATCTAAACATCCAGCAACTGGGTTCCCTGATTATTTCTGAGATCTGAAGACTACACTGCAGGCTGGTCCTCGGAGTGGAAATGTATTCATTTCCTCTGGCCGATGGAAATTAATGGAACCTGCTTTTCCATAAAGCACCAGTGCCTTTTGCTCTCAGCGCTGCCAACATCCTGTTCCCAAGGCTTGACAGTGATGAGTGATAGTTCTAGTGGGATTGTCACTTTGGGGGGAATCGTTGACACAAGTGCCCATTTAGGTCGAGCCCTATTGTGTCTAGAAATGGGATGCCACCAGCAACAGGCTGAATGTGTTCTCAGGCTCGTGTGTGTGTGTGTGTGTGTGTGTGTGTGTGTGTAGATTTTGCAGACATATAACACAATTTCAGAATAATTATAAATTATACTCTTTATTGGAATTTTCATATTGCCAATGGATTCTCAAAGAATGTTCTTGAATTTTTTGCAGAACTCATGTCTATGCTCCACCTCGGGTTGATGTTCGACCATGTCTGGGCCCAGCGGGCTGCAAGGGAGTCCTGATCACTATCTGACTCAGCCAGGAGGTGCTGCCTTGGTTGGCTTGTGAGTGTAGTTCCATGAGTGTTGTTTGATCTCCTCATCTGCATGAGTGAAGAAGCAAGAAAAATGTAGGTTGGAAGTTCATTACTAATGTAAGCAACTTTTCTGCTGAATCAGATAACAATCTTTAAATGCTAAAATATTCCTTTAATTTTTTGGTGCTAATCATAGTGTATTTGCTACATTACAACCCACCTTTCAGTTTAACCTGCATTATTAACATTGTCTCCATCACTTTCTCAAATCTATACAATCTTTTAAGAGAGTGTGTGTGTGTGTGTGTGTGTGTGTGTGTGTGTGTGTGTGTGTGTGTGTAGAGAGAGAGAGAGAGACAGAGACAGAGAAAGAGAGACAGAGAAACAGAGAGAATGAGGGGGTGGGGAGTGTATGCCCTGGTTTGTACTGTTTTCTAGTATCTGTGTGTAAATATCCCCACCTTGGCTAATTTCAAGCTCCTAACATGGTGTCGCTGAGCTGGAGTTAGGAAGTGATATGCAATGGCTCACTATTTTACATAATTTCCACCATACACAGACAACAAATCTAAACAACCTCGAGAGTATGCTAAGCTGGGCGCAGTGGTTCATGCTCGTAATCCCAGTGACTGGGGAGGCTGAGACAGGAGGATCACAGGTTTGAGGCCAGCTTTAGCAACTTAGCAAGACCCTAAGCAACTTCTAAATAAAAAAAATTAAAAGGTCTGGGGATGTGGTTCAGTGGTAGAGCATTCCTGGGTTCCATTCCCAGTGCCCAGAAAGAGAGAGAGAGAGAGAGGAGAGAGAGAGAGAGAGAGAGAGAGAACAATACTAAAAATAGTAAAATAACCAAGAAACGACGATGAGCCTTCAGTTTTTATTACCTTTTATTTTAAGCTATTTTAATGTCGAAGACTTGGTATCTGTAATGTTGTGTGATCATGGCCACAGACTTTTCATCACCCAGAATGGTCACCCCTGGTCATTAAGTGGTCACTTCCAGCCCCCTTTCCCCCTGGGAAACACTGATGTGCTTTCTATTTCTACAGAATTGCCTATGCTGGATAGTTCATATAAACAGAACCACGTAATGTGTAGCCTTTCCTGTCTGGCTTCTTCTACTGAGAATGCTTTCACAGTCCATCCCTCCACCAGCGTGGCCTAGCGCCTCACCTCCTTTTTCAAACTTTTTAAGAATTTTTTTTTCGGAGCCAGTACCAGGGATTGAACTCAGGGGCACTGACCACTGAGCTCCATCCCCAGCCTTATTTTGGATTTTATTTAGAGACAGGGTCTCACTGAGTTGCTTAGCACCTCGCTTTTGCTGAGGCTGGCTTTGAACTCTCGATCCTCCTTCTTCAGCCTCCCAAGTTGCTGGGATTACAGGCATGTGCCACCTTGCCCTGCTAAACTTTTTAAAATTTTTAAAAAATATTTTTAGTTGTTTAGATTTATTTATTTTTAAATAAATAAATAATAAATAAATGGTGCTGAGGACTGAACCCAATGTCTCAAACATGCTGGGCAAGTGCTCTACACTGGGCTACAACCCAAGCCCTTACCTCTTCTTATGGCTGAATATTATTATCCCACCTTTGTTCACTGGTAGCTGGGCATTTGGGCCATCTCCACCTTTTGGCTGTTACTTATAGCTGTTATGAACATTCATGATCGCCTGATTGCCCTTGTTTTAAATATACCTTAATCGTAACTTACATGATTTAATTTTTTTATAAGGACTGTGCTTATCAACAGATAAGTGGAATTCCTGACGTGTGCTGACGGGCTCCTAGGGGTGGGCAGCCATGGGCTCCAGCACCCGGCCGGCTGTCACCATCTATCCAGCTCTGAGCAGAAGACTACGCCCTGAACTCAGCAGATCTGTCCTGGGGCTGGTGCAGCCTCTAACTCGTTTTGTCATTTTGAACACATCACTCACCTCTCTTGTCTTTATCTCATCTCTCAAATGAGGCTCTTGGGTTGGGTGACACCTAGGAATGCTTCCTGGGGAATCTTTACTAAGTAGCTGTACTGGGTCCAGGGATTAAACAAACCCATTTAAATTTGCCACCTAGCAGTTCAAGGGGTTAAGTTTTTTCTCAGTCCATTTGGGGCTGCTGTAACAGAATATCTGAGGCTGGATGATTTAAAAATCACAGAGGTTATTTCGTACAGTTCTGGGGACTGGAAATTCCAAAAGGCCAGCATCTGTGAGAGCCTTCTTGCTATGACATCCCATGCTGGAAGATGGAAGGACAAGACAGCACACGTGTATATGTGTGTGTGTGTGTAAGGGCTCAGCCCATCCTCTTATCAGGGTGATGTGGCACGAGTCCATTGTCAAGGGTGGCCCCCTTGTACCCTATCACCCCTCGAAGGTCCCATCTTGCAACACTGCTGCAAGGGGCCACCTTCAACCAGAGGAAACACCTCCACCTTCAGTTTAGGGTCCCTGATCCCATTCCCATGTGGGCACCTCGACTGTCTCCCCAGCACCCCCACAGTTTTCCTGGTGGCCAGTTCTGCTCTGCCCTCCTCTGGCCCCTTTCCTCGGGTGACCACACTCCAGTTGGGCTCTCAGGTAGACCCTGTCCTGGGCGTGCCCTCGAGAGCCCAGTTTTAGCCAGAACCCCCCACCCTTGACATCTGACCAGGTTCACCATCTCCCAAATTGCCCAGGTGGCATCTAGCTACCCTGGTCTGCCTTTGGCAGGAATCCTGCAAGGTCAGTTCAGCCAGAGTCCCCCCCCCCCCCGACCCCTGAGGTTTCCTTTCGGTCATCTCCTGTTGTGTTGGGATGAAGGCAATCTGCCTCCTCTCTGCAAAAGCCCTCAGGGTCGTCCCTGTGCCTGTTGCCATGGGCCTGAGCAAAGCCTTCCTTACCACTTTTTATATGCGTGACTTTTTCTTTCACAGACCCACMTCCTCTCCTGGTGGTCACTTCTGACCCCAGCACGTGACCCAAGCTGCTCCAAGAATTGCAAGAAGCTGTTTCAGGAGGCTCTGGAACCTGAGAAGCATCCTATCTTCCACTGGGATGCATGGTGTGAGGGTAGTGTGCTTGCAGCCTCCAAGGCCATTTTGTGATCGCGGTGAGTATTTATTAAGCACCACCTGTGTGCATGGAGGGCCCTGAACCAGCTCGGAGCCTTGGAACAAACTGGTGAGAGGTAGAGTGAGAACCGGGAGGAGCCATGACATGTGGTCCCTGGAGACTTTGCCCCTCCACGAGCCAATCAAGTCCCGCTTTTGCTGAAACTCTGTGGAAGGCGGAGTCAGGCTTTGGGTCTCGCACCTGGGAAAATAACCAGAGCCAGGACGGAGAAGCAGCAGCTTCACGGCGACTCCAGTCTCAGAGCTGCTGTGTCCTCTGCTGTCAAGCCGAGTGGCTTTACTAGAAGTGCTGGGGACATCTGAGGTGTGCGCTGCCCTGGCGGAGGGCTGAAAGGGTCGCCTTGGATACATAGGWACATTGGCCCTTTGCTCCTGGTTCCTGGCACGGAGTTCTGCAAACCCCCGGAAGTGCCCGAGGGACAGGAGAGTCTTCTGTGATTCATAAAGAGCCCCTTAGGTCACCTCTGAGCTTGTACAATACAAGGAGGTGGCCGAGGGTGGGTTCCCTAACAAGCAGGTAGAGGATGGGGACCCTCAGGGCTCCCCACTAGCCTCCAGAGGAGGGAGGGAGGCTGGGATTGGGTCTGTACCCGTCTTGAATCATGAGATTCAGAGTTCCAGACCATGGGGGCAGACTAGCTGGGAGGGCCCAGAGGCTCTGCCCCGTCCCCAGGACTCCCACCTGCCCTGTTCGAGGTTTCCATTGGGCTGCCCCGGGGTTGTATCCTTCATAACCACCCTGTGAGATGTTCTCCTGACTCCCGAGAGCCGTTCTATCAAATCACCACCCCTGAGGAGGGGCCATGGGAAAMCCAGCTGCATGACCCGTGGGTCGGAAGCAAGGGTGGTCGGAGACTCCTGAGGGGCACCTGGAGTGGGGCAGTCTTCTGGGAGCCCTGGGGCACCTGCCTCCACCTCCAGGTAGGTAGTGTCACAGGGCAACTGCATCGTTGGGTRCCCCAAAGTGATGGAGAAAACACACCAGAGATGCAAAGCGTGCTCATGACAGTCTTTCCCCTCCCTCACTTCTAGTTCACAGCAAAACGAGACAAATCAAGAAGACATGAATACCTAGGGGCTTACACTCTGCCCGTGGTATCAGAAATTGAATCCAAAATGTCTCAGGAAGCAGGCCTCTGCTGCCTCTTCTCCGGAGATCACCTCGTGACCAGGCCCAGAATTCTTTAAGYGGCTGATCCCTTGGGCTCGAGGTGTCAGGTAGACCTGGTCTCATTCCTAACTCCGTCACCTGCTAGTTGTGGAACTTGGGCAAACGMATCTCCATCTCTTTCTAGCCCTTCCTCCACACAAAGAGGCTAACATGCTCCTCAAAGAAGCCTCAGTGAGAGGTGTATTAGTCTGTTTCATGTTGCTGTAACAGGATACCTGAGGCTGGGAAATATAGAGTAAAGAGGTTCACTTGGCTCATGATTCTGGCAGCTGTAGAGTCCACACAGCATGGTGCTAGYATCTTGGCAGGCAACTCCTGGCTGCATTATAATGTGGCAGAGAAGCAAAAAGGGAACTTGGCATGTCTGGAGGGGCCCATGTGCAAGCAAACACAGAAGAGACCTGATCTACTCCCAAGGGACAGACTTAGTCCCCCTCCTAAGGACAGAGCCTACTTACCTTCCACTAGAACTCACCTCCTGAAATTGCCACCATGTCACCATTGCCATATGGGGACCGAGCTTTCCAGKGCATGAGCCTCTGGGGGACACACCATAGGAAGAGGCGTTAGCTGGAGTCAGTTTGGTCCCTGTGCCCACAGCTCTGCCTGCTTCCCCAAACCTCCACCTTCGGCTTCATTCCCAGCTCTCCCCTGGCCCTTCTTCAAAGTCGATAAGTTTATTGGAGCTTGGAAGGAGGCCAAGCTCCATGGCCTCTCCTGGGGTCCTCAGACTAGCTCTCTCTGACGTGACCGGAGGCAGAGGGAAAGGTGACAAGGAGAGAACTCGATGGAGCAAAAACAGCTAATTATATGTGCAAAAACCATGACAGTCAGTTAGGCATTTATTGGGCACTTGCTGTGTACACATAAGGTCTTGAATCGGGTGCTTAGGAGGGAAGACAGGCAATGAGAGGCCAGATTTTGAGCTTCAGGCCTGAGTCCTGGTTGGTTCTTAGCAGCCCCTGAGCTCTGATCTTGACAAGGCGGCTCCCCGTGGAAATGCAGTTAGTCACCATGGGGCTTAATGGAGAAGAAGGTGGGCCTCTCAAATCAGATTGGAGAGGCTGAATTTGGAGTCTCTCCAGTGTCTAAGAGGAGGCCAGCAGTCTGACCTCTAAGAAGCACATGACCTCAGCAGAGGTGGATTTCATCACCTTTGAGGGGGTATGGCTCATTGGAAGTGGCACCTAATGATCCACCCACCACCCCATTTCCAGGCCCTACAGGCAGAGTCCTCTTGGGTATCTGGTCTACCCTCTACCCTCAAATGCAAGAGAAGGTGAACGGGACCTTTCAGCTTAATCACGAGCCCTGTTGGAGCAGAAAATGAGCTCTGCCTTGTGACGCTCCATTTCCCTATCCTGATTAGTTATTCGGGAGCTGTCGATGGGTGACTTGCCTTGGAGTTGTAGCGACTTTCAATATCCTGAAGTGTGGAACTCAGGGATGGAGACCTCTGCACAGAATGACAATGCATATTGGAAGGGGGAGTGAGGGTGGGTCAAATTGCTGCCTTGAAAATAAGAATGTGCCTTTGATGAACGAGCACGGGGCAGACGAGAACCTCAGACAAGGAAGTCSGTGGCAATCGTTTCTAAGAGATCACACCTGCAGACAGGCAGTTATTGGGCCAAAAAAATACCAATTGCCCGATTATGAAGGAATGAATGAACAGAGAGGGGGTGAAGGGGCTTTTTCATCTCATCTGGGATGCACCTGCCCCTCACTTTAGGGACAAAGTGTGTTCCTGAAAAGTTAACTGCAAATTGGAATTTTTATAGCTCAATCATTTCCACCCCCATTACTTTCCTTGCAAAAATGGGTCCTCAGAATCTTCTCAGGCTCTGGGCTGTTATAAAACCTCAGCTCAGGCTGCAGCACATCTTTAAACATTATCRCTTTTATAGCTGAAACTGAGCATTTTCTTATATTAAAAATTCACATTCTGAAAAAAAAATTTGAAAAACATGGAATCGAAGCACTCAGGTTGTTTCTTTATGTGGTTCAATAGTTTCAGTGCTAATGACCATTGACTGGGTGACTTCTAAGTTTGGGGCACCAGGCTACCATTTTCACGTGGCACCTAATTGAACTCTTTCCTCAATCCTGGGACTTAGATATTATCTCACTTTTTTTAATGCAATCATCAAGTTAGGGAGATAAGTGACCTAGCTTTCCCATGCTCATGACCTTGAGGTGTCAAAGCTGGATTTTGAACCCAGACCCAAGTGGCTCTAGGTTTGGTATACTTTAACCTTCTTCATAGCTGCTGGTTTAAGGATCTTACATAAGAAGCCCAGCTAACAACAAACCCAAACACAACTATGTCACTTGTTAGATGAAGGAGGAAGGCTTGGTTTCTAGCAGGTTCTTCTCTCAGAGGTCTCATAAGAGGGTGAGAAGCCTTCCCTTGTTTTGGTGTTCAGACCTCAGGTCCATCCCATGCATGAAATCTGTGAGTTTGGCTAAGGAAAAAGAGGAGAAAACACCAAAGTCCAACTGCTCAAAGCCAATCTATAAAGAGCCAAGAGCAAAGATAATAAATGTTTGCAGCTTTAAGCTGCTAAATTGGGGGAAGGGTTAATTTGTTATGCAGCAATAGCTAACAAATACAATTTTTTTTTTCCCTATTGATTGAACCACATCTGGCCTGGTTGAACTTACCCGTGATGGCTCACTCAACTATCAGGAAGGAGAGAGTTCACTGGCAGAAATTCCTGGAGGGCCTGAAGACTTTAGAAAACCAAGATGGTGGATMCAGGCACTGGCTATGAAATTTTATTTTCTAAGTATGTGAGTGTTCTTGTTGGGTATTGGGTAGTACCCAACTTCCAAGATGCTTCTGGTATTCACACCCTGTGTAGTCCCCTCTCCCACTGTGCTGGGATGGTCCCTGAACCAATAGCATAGGTATGTCATCTCTGGTGCTAGGTCATAAAAAGACTGCAACTTCTATCTTGGGCCCTCACTCTCATTCTCTTCTCTCTCTCGAATTCCTCCCTCTGGGAGAAGTCAGCTCCTATGTGGTAAAAACACCGAACAAGTCTGTGGAGAAGCCCATGTGCATAGAGCTGAGAGCTCTGCCCTCAGTAAGAAACCGAGGTCCCGCCCAACAACCATGAGTGAGTTTGGATGCAGGTTCTCTACCCCAGACAATTGCAACCCCATCTGACATCTGAACTGCGGTCTTAAGAGAGAGCCTGAACCAGAACCACCCAGCTGAGCAGCTCCAGAATTCCTGACCCACAAAATCTATGAGATAATAAATGTTTGTGGCTTTAAGCTACTAAATTGGGGAGGGGGTCATTTGTTATGCAGCAATAGCTAACAAATACAAGTTGTTTTCTTTCCTATTGTTGGCACTGACTGAACCACRTCTGGCCTGGTTGTACTTATCCTTGAACATCTTTCTCCTTTTCTCCAGTTCATTTCAACCTCTCATTCCCTTTATTTTGAACGACTTCACTAAGGAAATGAAAACCAGCCAAGGGCCACTGCATACAGAAGTGCAATTAGCCCTTGCGTGGGGGTTTATGTGAACAGTGTGTGCTACGGTTTAATGTGTYCCCCCAAAACTCGTATGTTGAGACCTGGATTCCCAAGGCAGCAGTGTTGGTACCTGGGGCCTAATGGGAGGTGCCATTCTTGCCCCAGTGGTTTGTTATAAAAGCAAGTTGAGCCTCCTTGGCTTTCTTTTGCTCCTGCCCTCTTGCCCCTCTGCCAGTTATAATCCAGCGAGAAGGCCCTCACCAGAAGCCAAGAAGAAGTCAGTGCCATGCTCTTGGCCTCCAGCCTCCAGAAA